CCGCTTTAGTGACTGTGTTGGAATCCGTCGATAATGGATTGATGGTAGATGGTTGAACGGATCGAGGACTCTTTGATTTTTGTTTCTGAAAATTAGAAATCGAAAAACAACAGAAATATGTTAGAATCCAAGTGAATCGACTATAGACAAAAAGATAGATAAGACAATAAGGTATCGAAAAGAACCTTCGATTTTTTTGAAGATGAAGAAATGGTGGCCGAGTGCTTGCGTTTCCTAACGAAGGCCGATGGGTCTGACTCATCCGAGGACTCCCAGTCCTTCTCCTTTTCGGCGACAACAGTCTTAGAGGATTTTGAAACTGTCGAAAAAGAAAGCAGTTAGCTTATAATATAAAGAAAATTAAAAATATTCCTAAAAGAGGTAGCAAAATCTCACCAAAAGGTGATGGAGTCAAAATCGTGACTCGATCGATATGTACAAGCCAGGGAGGAAGAAGAATTTGAGGAAGATTTAGGTAAGGGAAATAGGACAATTTCAATACAGAAATATCTTTGTTTTTGGGCTTGGGATAAAGGGTTTCTTTCAGGGATCTCAATTCTCGAACCCATTTAGGATGAGTTAGAGGTTTGGCAAGTCCAAAAGGAGCTGTAGGGAAAGTGGGAAGGGGAGCGGGACAATACATTTCAAACGAGGTTTTGCCTCGAGGATTGATTATTTTGTGGTTGGATCGATTAGTGTCTGTCTTATTGGCTAAGGAAATAACAGCGTCATAAAAGGTCGATTCTAATTTCAAAGGGTTGTAACAAACTCGATAAAAATTCTCGAATCGAGATATTTGAAGATAGTGGGAGTGTGTACCTTTCTTCGCCTTTGATTTGTCCTGCAACACAAGAGAAGGATGAGCAGTCAATTTTCGTTGGACTTCGTCAAAATCAGAATGATTACTCGAGAACCAATCGGCCCACCATTGAGAGAAACCCAGAGTTGATAAATAATTAGATTAAAAAACATAAGGATAAAAATGCATCGGGGTTTTTGGTAGCAGTTTGGTGAGCTCCCGTCCAATTGTCGATTCACTTAACTTGGACCTTGGGGAGATATCGAAGGGGAAAAAAGGTAAGGCTTGACTCAAACCAAACTGTCTCGAGAAAAGTTGGGGGTAATAGGTGACAAGCTTAAAATCCTTGGAGTGAAAACCCAATACTAATACATCCTGAGTCAAATAATTACTCCACACGTCGACCAGCTCTGATTGTAACCCAGGAGTTAAGGCAGGGAATTTGGACTTAAACCAAGATGGTCCTCGAAGTTGGTCGCTTATTCGTCCAAGATTCACAGTAAAAGGAGCCAAAGTCGAATCAAAATGAAACCTAGTTAACAAAAATCTAAGGTATTTACGGTAAGTCGCCTCGTCGGGTTTGTAATGACGATGTCGAGAAGATAATTGAGCACCCTCTAAATTTACACTTGGGGGGATGTTGGAGGTTGGGGGGAGGATACTCTCAAAAATCGAATTTAGCCATAATTGGATAAACCAAATGGGGCCCGAAAAATTTCCCGAAGCTCTGGGGGTATTCAAAATCTCGACGGCCTCATCGAAAGCAGTATATACATGGGCTAACAAAAATTTGGCTAAACAAATTCTAGGCTGGCCGGTGTGAAGGAGATAGGCAAGGTTATACAGGGGGGATGAAATTTGGATGGATCGGGGGCAGAAGACGTGAGTGCACAACCAGTATACCAAGAAGGCAACATGCTCCTCATCAGAAATAGAAACTGTTGGATCATCGATAAAATGCTTCTCGAGAAAATGACCATAGGCTTTCGATTCCCAATCGATTTTGGACCTTAGGGAATTATCCGAAGGAAAAACACCCTTATAATACTTCTCCCCTGTGGGCTTCAAACCAGTAATTGCAGCGACTTCGAAAAGGGTGGGCGAAAGGGGACCACAAGGGAGTTCTAACGCATGCAGGTCCTTATTCCACAAATGTACAGCAGACAGAAACATAGCCATATCCAAAAATGACAAATCGCATCGAGACAAATGCAAAAAATCGAAAATTCCCACATCTCTCCAATGGTTCCCAAACTTAGTCTCAACCCTATCAAACCACCTAATGTACAAGGGTTTTTTGGAGGGGGGGCCCGTTCGGTATACTTTAGATACAGCATTCAGGAAGTCAGTTCAAACCTCAGATTGATGAATAAGAGCCTGGCTCTTTGAAGAAAGATTGAAGGAAGAAAAAGATCCGCCACAAGAACGGATAGGACCCCCAAAAGCAAAATTTACATCATCAGCAATGTAAGGGATGAGTACCTGCGTCTCAGCGACCTTCTGAGAAGCTTCCTCCATTAGAGGAACCAGAGCAAATTTCTTGTTGTTGATCTCCAGCAGGTTAGAGGCCAACAAGGGAAGTGGTGGGGCTGAAAAATCAGAAGATTTTGAAGAGGTTGCCATTTCAGGAGAGTAGAGGAAAACAGAGGATAGAAGGTGAGGGTGCAAGGTTGAGGACAAAGGCGCAAGGTAGAAGATGAGGTTGCAAAGGAGGAGTAAAAGTTCGCGTAAAAAACCAGGGTAAAAGACCAACAAAGTGTTTAAAGGAAAACTACCTAGGGTACTGGAAACGACGGAGGCGAAGGGCAATTAATGTGGCGTGTACAGTAAGGCAGCAGACTGCTGAGATGGTGACATAAAGCAGAAAGAAACCCTAAACCCTGAAAAACCCCAGAAACCCTAAAACCTAAGTTATTGTGGGCCTCCAACATGCGAAGGCGGGAATCATGTTGAAAGAACATAAACATAAACTATTTATATTCTTCTAAGGGGGCATTTTGTTAGTGGGAAATCGATAAAGGGATCGAGAAACAAATGGGAGCAAAAATCGAGAACCATTTTTGATTGAGTTAAAGACTGATAAATCGAAAGATAGTTGAAAAATACGTTCGACGACCATGTGACAATATAAGCGAGAATTAGAATCGAGAATCGAAGGAAGAATGTTTAATATCCGTTAGTGAATGAAATCGAGAAATCAGAATTATGTAATGTTAAGGTTAAGGGAAATCAAAGGCAAGTCAAACGTTCTCGAGATTTCGAAATCAACATCGAGGAAAATGTTAACCCATGTATCGAGATCCCGGCTAAGTTATAAAGAGAGGAACAGTTGACGTGCACATCGAACATGGTAAGCGGTGGCAAAGGTCGAAGGTCAAGGGAGCAGTTACCTCATGTATGGGAACGTGAATGCAGTTTCTAAACCGTAGAGCTAGGAGTAAAACTACAAAAGACGTGCACGCAGAACGTGGTAGCAGTTTTCGTTAACTGCTCCTAAGAGATTACTTGAAAGATGCTCTATAAATAGAGCGAAGGATAAAGGGAAAAGGGGAGGGTGGAAATTGGCAGAGAGAGCAAAAATACTAGTGAGAAGTCTACTGGAGAACGACGAACATCATGAAGTTTCTGGCGATCTAGATTTCCATGTTCATTGATTTCCTTTACCGCTTTCTTTATTTTCCCTGGTAATTTACTTTGATGCAGTTTATGTTTAGCAACTTTAAGTTTTTGTACATTCGATTCCTTGTCATTTATATTAACGCAATTTTGATTTCCTGCTGTTTACATTTCCGAGATTTCGATTCCTTGTCATTTACCTTAAAGCAATTCAAGTTTCTGTACTTTCGATTCCTTGTCATTTATATTAAGGCAATTTCGATTTCCTGTTATTCTTTTTCTTGCAATTTCGATTTCCTGTTGTCTATTTTTCTACAAAGTTAGATTTTTGCTTATTTACAATCCTGCAATTTTCGATTCCTTGTCATTTCCCTTTAATGCAATTTTGAGGTTTCTGCACTTTACATTTTCTGCAATTTAATATTTCTTCGCATCTTTATATTCTGTACTGCTTTTTCGATTTGACATTTTACTGCTTTCTTTATTTTCGATGTCTCCTAGCAGAAAAACACAAAAGAGTACTTTTTGCATGCCATATTCCATTAGTAACATCACCTCGACTTTGGTAGTGCTTTCAATTCTCATACGCATTTCGATTGAAAACTAGTTGTTAGCCTAAGTAAAAAGAATCTACGTGGTTGGAATTTGGTTAGAACAAAATTCCCTAAAAATCGAAATCGATCAAAATTCCACGAAACACCTTCCCATTAGCAAACAAGTATTAAATAATTAAAGTATTTGTACATCTGAATATTCATAGACACAAATTTTTTTTAACATCCCTAATTAAGACAAAAATCACATATAAATATTAAATTTATATATATAAAAAAATCACTTATTTTGAAAAGTTTGACAACAAAATTGATTAATTTGTAAGTAAAAGAGTAAAAGGGAAATTTGTGAAATATACCGAAATAAAAATATATTTTTCCTTTATTTTATTACCTAATTAATTTATTTTTTATTCTATCAATAAATCGATTCAATTATAAATTTTTTAATAATTTTTCTTTACTTGTAAAATAACCTTAATTTTTACTTCTTTTTTCATTCCTTCGTTCTCTACTTTCTCTTCTCCACTTCTTATTCTAAATTAAAAAAAAAAAAAAAAAAAAACTAAACGAAATAAAAGTTAATAAGCAATTAATGAAGATACTCGTGGTCCTTACTTTGCAGCCAGATAAACCGAAAAGAAGGTCAATGCCATGGTGAAAAGGCTATATAATCTACATTTTAGCTGTATTGCTTGTACTTATTTTGAGCCTTCAACGGCAATAACAATGAACCATTAGCGGCGCGCAGTGGTTTAAAGAACTCCCCAAAGTCCACACACACATCTCTTCCGTATTTAAATCTTTTTTTCTCTATTATCCTTCAAAAAATTAAGAAAATATCTATGGTCAACGATAAAAGAAAAAAAATTGATTAAGGTATTATAGGATTATTCCATAAATATTTGTTAAATTAGTAAGTTTAAAAATATCGATTCCATTGGAGAAAAACCAAAATGGAAGCAAAATAAAACCCAAAAATATATCTTTTGGAGCTTATCTTTTAGAAGGTTGCGGGGGTTTCATCGGTGATGGACCGTGACCTGTGAGTGGGTGGACTTTATATAATCAGCTAAAATTCTAATTGATTAAAAGACACTACAATGTACCTTATAAATATAAAATTTATAAAATTCTAAGTGAGATTTATAAATATAATTTTTTTAATTAAAAATTAAGTATGTTTATTTTAAAATTATATATACATATAGAGAGAGAAAAAAATTGATTGATTGGTATTTGCGGCGTGTCATGTGTGAATTGAAGAAGATACAGTAATAACTGCGGTGGTAACGAAAGGAACCAGAGATAGGGATGAAGCGGGGCGCCAACAGCTTGGTTCCAGCTCAGGAACCTCAAGCTGCGGAAAATCGAACCTTTGGAAGGAGGAAGGAGGCATGGACGAGCTTCTCGCTGTGGTGGGTTACAAGGTGAGGTCCTCTGATATGGCGGAAGTGGCGCAGAAGCTGGAGCGTCTTGATGAAGCTATGGAAAACGTTCAAGACAGTCTCACGGAACATTCAAACGATGCCTTTTATTACAACCCCTCTGACATCTCCAATTGGCTCGAGACCATGCTTTACAATTTCGACTCCCATCCTCCAGAAGAATCAAATAAGGACTCCGCCTCCTCCGACTACGATCTCAAGGCTATTCCCGGGAAAGCAATCTACGACGGTGGTGTTAGTACTACGTCAAACCCTAAGCGCCTCAAATCTGTTGAGTCAACGAGCACGGTTGTGGTCGTTGACTGGCAAGAGAACGGGATCCGCCTCGTGCACAGCCTGATGGAGTGTGCGGAGGCCGTCGAAAACAACAACCTCCCCGTGGCGGAGGCGCTGGTGAAGCAGATCGGATTCCTTGCTTTGTCGCAGGTCGGAGCTATGCGGAAAGTCGCCACCTACTTCGCGGAAGCACTCGCAAGGCGAATCTACCACGTTTTCCCTCTCCAGCACTCGCTCTCCGACACGCTTCAGACTCACTTCTACGAATCCTGTCCTTATCTCAAATTCGCTCACTTCACTACCAACCAGGCTATTCTCGAAGCTTTCCAAGGGAAAAGCCGCGTTCACGTCATAGATTTCGGAATCAACCAGGGGATGCAGTGGCCGGCACTGATGCAAGCCCTAGCTCTTCGTACCGGCGGTCCTCCTGCTTTCCGGCTCACCGGAATCGGACCTCCCGCAGCAGATAACTCTGACCACCTCCAGGAAGTTGGATCGAAGCTGGCACAGTTTGCGGAGACGATTCACGTGCAGTTCGAGTACCACGGCTTCGTCGCCAACTGTCTGACCGATCTCGACGTATCCATGCTCGACCTCCGAGAAGATGAATCCGTAGCACTTAACTCCGTCTTCGAGTTTCACAAGCTCCTCGCGCGCCCCGGCGCCGTCGAGAAGGTCCTCTCTGTTGTCCGACAGATTCGGCCGGAGATTCTGACCGTGGTGGAGCAAGAAGCGAATCACAACGGACTGAGTTTTCTGGACCGGTTCACTGAGTCGCTGCACTATTATTGCACTTTGTTCGACTCGCTGGAGGTTTCACCTGTGAATCCACAGGATAAGGCGATGTCGGAGGTTTACTTGGGAAAACAAATCTGTAACGTGGTGTCCTGCGAGGGAATGGATCGCGTGGAACGGCACGAGACCCTAAACCAATGGCGGAACCGGTTCAGTTCTGCCGGGTTTTCTCTCATTCATTTGGGTTCCAACGCGTTCAAACAGGCTAGCATGTTGCTCGCGCTCTTTGCTGGTGGGGATGGGTATAAGGTGGAGGAGAACAATGGGTGTCTAATGCTGGGATGGCACACAAGGGCCTTGATTGCCACATCCGCGTGGCAACTCGCTGCAAAATCGGTGGTTACGCTCTGAGTCCACTTGCCGATTCGCTCAACGTTTTTTTATTTTATTTTTAAAATTTATTTGAATTCATGCCACCGAGAAAAAAAGGGAACTTGCGGGGATGAGAAGGCAGTGTGTAAATGTGTAATGCTGAACTGTACTGATTGCACAAACCTGAGAACCACCATTCTCCATTTTCCTGCCCCATGTCTCTCTCTCTCCAACCTTTAATTTACCTATTTTGCCTTTGGTTTAGGATTTTGATTTTCTCTACCTTTTGGAAACCTTGAACCTTTTTTTGGCTTTCTACTTGGTTTTGGGTGGAATCTCCTGTAATTTGTCACGGTAGAAACCAAGATGCTTAATGTTATTATTTATTTATGGTTTAATATGTGTAGTTTACCGATAATACGCTAGAAAATTTTATAATTTAATTTTTATATATTTGTAGTACATGGACTAGCGATTTTGCAGAATATAAGTGGTATATGACCCATCATTGTCAAAATAACCATGATGGTAGCCCACTGTCTGGGCCATGAAACCAGCTTTGATAGAAATGGTATGGTAGGCCAGTAACCAAAATGGAGAATTCTCAGCTAACTGCATTGCATTAGCACGGATAAAGCAGCTTGCCTTGTGGCATATATTCAAGTGTTGAGTGATACACAGCATCAACGATGGATTGAACTGTAACTGCAACGCATTGCATAACAAAATTACTGCAATCTCAGCCGAATCCTCTGTGTCAGACAAAGCTAAGTAATCAGAAAGTGAGAATAAAGTTAAAAATAAAAATGGATTACCCACTTTAATGCCAAGATCTTCCTAATGCTATTCTTCTTGAAAAGTTTCACTTTTAATGTTTATTCCTTTATAATTATTGTGGAACCGATTGCCTTGCCTCGCATATGAATGCTTCCCCCCGCCCATCCTTTTTATCAAGTTTCAGTTCTCTTTGCTGGTAATATCAAAATCACTTTTCTCTATATTAATATCCCCTGATATCTAATTTGTAAAGTATCCTATATAGCATAAATATCATCTCACTTGTCAAGGCAAGAATCAAAACCTCATTTGGCTACTCTTTTATCAACTCTGATAACTTTGATTGTATCAACAAACTACTCAATATCAGTATACAATTGGACTTCTCAGGAATCTCGAGTCCCTGACATCCTCTGCCATGGGAAACCTGCAATATTTTCCCACTCTATTATTTTAAATTATTTCCCCTCAATTTTAAACCTGAACAGTCTGGCAAGTGCAGGATGCAACGTCAATTTCCCATGCTATACTCTACTGGATCCACAGTCCAGTAATTGATATAAAATAAAAAATGAGCAAGCATTCTCAGGTGTAAATTTGCTATTCCTCCGACTAGAAACGTATTTGATCAGTTATCCCCTAACCCTTGCTTAGTTGGTTGGGCACTCGGGCCAACAGAATAAAATTAAATGACAAGAGAATATCTTCATTTCCTATAGCAAACCAAAATGTCTATTTAGCTATACTATCTCATATAACAAAAACTACAAAGCGAATAAGAATTTGTGAGACAAAAATTAAAAACACAATATTTTGATGATACATTCCAAATTAGAAATATTAAGCATCTCTATTCCAAGAATTTTTAATGAGTTGTTTCACTCTTAACAATAGTAATATCATATTATTGTTAAATACTTTTCATTTAAGTTTACTCTATCAAAGAATATTAAATATTAAGTAACTCTAAATAATTTATTATTTTATATATTTTTATATATTATTTTAATATTTAATATAAAATTTAAATATATTTATTAAATAATTAATTATTTTAGTTAATAACATACTATCATATTTTAATATAAAAATAATATGAAATACATAATATTTGAATAAATATAATGAAAATAAAATAATATTAGAAAATATACTACATAAAATTAATTTTCATTATTCTCTCCAATTATCAAATATGTTCTACCAAATATGCTTGAAATTGGTGACGAGTATATCTATCTTGAATCGTTGCTCTATTTTTAAAGTATGTACATCTAAAACTAGGATGAAAACTTGAAAATATATCAATAGTTGACATGTCATTTTCCTTAATATCATAATTAACATGGTTTTGATAAGTGTCTATTATCCTCAATAATCATATTGTGTAATATGATACATGCATAGATTATGTTCTTCAATGTATAAGCATCCCAAAAAAATATGCTAGACCACGTATAATTGCAAACCAAGATCGAAGGACTCCAAATACATGTTCAACATCCTTTCTTGCTGACTTTTGTTGTTGAACAAATAATTTTCTCTTTTATCCTTGTAGCATTGAAATAGTTTTCACAAATGTAGCAAAATCTGGATAAATACCATATGCTAAGTAATTTCCCATATCATATTGTGTTTCATTCACAGTGTAGTGCATAGGTGCAAAACCTGACATAAATTCATTAAACACATTAGAAGCATTTAACACAGTAACATCATTATTTCACCCCGGGGTACCAAAAAAGCATGCTAAATTCATAAGTATTATGATGTCACAACTTCGAGAATGATTGTCTAGTTAGCATGATCACCTTGACAAAATTGACATTTCCGTGCAATTGGACAATTTTTCCATTCCTAACACATGCAATCAATTGATTCTAACATATATGGAAAGTCACATGTCACTCCCATTTATAGTAGTTGATCAGCGTCTTCATTGTTAGGCCTCCTAAAATACTCATTTCCAAATGCTAAACAAATGTTCGATACAAATCGTTGTAAACATTCTACTCCAGTACCAATTCGAATATATTCGTCCACACTATCAGCAGGTGAGCCATAACCCAATATGCGAATAACAATAGTGCACTTTTGCAAAGGTTGTATATCTCTTCTTTATGTTGCATCTAACCTCATTGTAAAGTAATCGTTGTGATTGCCAAGAGCTTCCACAATTTTGACAAAAAGTCTCCCTTCACATACAGAACCTTCTTCGAAAATGAGATTCCATACATACTAGATTTTCAGCAAAATAGTAATTTAATAATCGATGATGACCTTCTTCACGATTTCAATGAACTACATTTCTTCTTTATCTGCCACCACCATTGTTGTTGACTCGTTGTTGATACTCAAATAGTAACTCATGATTTCTTCATCATTGTTATCTTCGATTTCTTCATATTGTTATTTTCGATTTCTTCATCTATGACTTGATCCAACAATGCATTTAAATCAATATTTTCAAATTCCATTATATGGATAATTGAAGTGTTTAAAAACAAAGAATAATATTGTAGTACTATAAGATGAGACATTGCATGACATTTCATAACTATATATAGATTCATAGTGGCCTCTTTTACAACGACTAGTTTTACAACAACTAGTTTTTACAACGACTAATTTTACGACTAGTTTTGCAATGACTAGTTTTTACAACGACTAATTTTCACAATGACTAATTTTTACAATGACCAATTTTCATTTCATCTAATACATTTTTAAACAAATACAAATAACTATCCTAATGACTAATATATTTAAAATCCTCGTTTTTACCTAATATAATTACAATATTTTTCGTGATATTCACATTGCTTCTCAAACATGTTAGATGTGTCCTTCATGAGGATTTCACACTCCAAACACATTTCATGTGACTTCTTTAACTCAATCAATTCATCAAATATTGTATTTTTTTTCTCCTTTATTGCATTTTCTATGCCAGATAAATCAATACGGGGGGTAGCACTTGCATTGGCTTTTCCTTTGCTCTTTCTCTTGGCTGCCTTTTGTCCTATGGGGTGAGATATTAGTGATGTTGTGTCACATTCTTCCACTACAAGAAAATCATTAATTACCAACGGATATTTACCGACAGATATGTAGTCGATGGGAAATGAGTGATTACTGACAAAAATTACTGACGGATTTAAAGTAGTTGTAGAATTTGGTCTTACCAACGGATATATCCATCGGTAAATGAATAATTAATTACCGACAAATATATATGTCGGTAAATTCGTCAGTAAATGAACAATTAATTATCGACGAATATATCCATCGGTAAATCCATCGATAAATTAACAATTAATTATCGACGAGATATATCTGTCAAGTAAATTAACAATTTTGATAAATGAACAATTAGTTATAGACAAATATATTTGTTGGTAAATTAATAATCGATTACCGATGGACATTACCAGACGAATTTAAAGTATATTTTTAAAAATCAACATTAAATTAAAAAAATTAAATATTTAAAATTATATAATAATTACTTAATTTTAAATATATTCTAATAAATTAATTATTCACCTAATTAAAAAAATTAAAAAATCAAATACTTTTTTATTTAATAATTTAATTTAATCATAATTAGATTAATTAATAATAATTTGCTAAATTAAATAATTTTAAAAATAAATATTTAAGTATTTTTAATATTGAAAAATGATTTTAATATAAGAACTTTAATTAAATAATACAAGAAAAAAAGATAAAAAGAATAAATTAAAATAAAATGAAAAGAAAAAAAGAAAAAAAATAATTTTATATCATTATATAAAATTATAAATATTATATTTTGTCATTAAATTACAAACCCATATAAAGAGACTCGCTCACAAATTTGGCATCAAATTTTGAAAACTCACTCGACACACACTTTCACCCTCGAGCACGCCCTTACATCTAACATATAAATATATTTGTATTTATATATTTTATATTTATATATTTACATAGATATACATTTATTTGTATATAAATATAATTTATTTGTAAATTATTATCGAGAAAATCCTAGTAGCTTAGTGGTTGGAGTATCGAGTCTACAACTCTAAGGTACTGGGTTTGAATTTTGCCAGTGATAATTCTCTTAATCGAATAATAATTCAAATTTTTAAAAAAATAATAAAATACCTACTTACTGGCGGACTTTTCAAATCCGTCGGTAATATTTACCGACAATATAATTTGTGACGGATTTACACTTTATAGTGTAAATAAAGTGTAGGGCAACAATTACAACG